TTGTATCATTTGGGAGGATGGTACAAATTTTGATTAGCTTTAGTCTTTCAGAAGCATGAGTGTGATAACTCAGGCTTAGGTTCTAGGATTACTGAAAGTATAGAAAGAGCAAGTGCAACTTATTAAAATAATAGAGGTGCGCCAGGCTTGGTGGCTTATCTTGTAATCCCAGCACTTTGGATTGCCTGAGCCTGTGGGTTTGAGACCAGCCTGGGCAACTTGGTGAGACCTCGTCTCTATAATAAATAAAAAAATTATTTGGGCATGGTAGTGCACTCCTGTAGTTCCGGTTACTTGGAAGGCTGAGGTGGAAGGATCGCCAGAGCCCAGCAGGTCGATGCTGGGGTGGCCGTGAGTATGCCACTACACTCCAGCCCAGGCAATGGAGTGAGACTCTAACTCAAAAAATAAAAATAAAAAATAGAGGAAAAAATTCAAAAAGGAGGAACCATAGCAGAATTGGAATTTGTTTTTTTTTAAGTAACTATCTTATCTCATTCAGCTTTGGAGATGAAATAAGTTAAGAATTTGCTTATTTTGAAAAAAGGAGAGAAAAAATAGAAAAGTTTAAGGGTAAAGGCATCTTAAAGAAAGAAAGACATTTATTAAATAAAATAAAGTAAAAGTTTAAGATACTGATTATAAGTCTTAAATAAAATGTCAAATTTAAATTTGATGTTAGTAAATGGTTACTATCCAGTTCAAATTTCCAGTACAAAGGGGAAGTTTGTTATGTTAGATAAAAAAACAAAATCTAGCCACATGATACTTATAAGACATATATTTGCTTAATGATATAGAAAAATGGAAAGTACAAGGGCAGAGATAAATTAGGAGAATGTGAATTAAAGTTTATTTAGCTATATTAACATTAGATAAAATATAGTTTTTATTCATAAATCTTTGAGATAAAAAGTATTCTTATGTAAAGAGTAAAGATTCATTTTAGCAGGATAAGATAGTAATTAAAATAATTAAACGTGCTTATTTACCTGATAACATGGCCTCAAATAAAACAAACTTTGAATTATACAGAAAAGTAGACAAATACGGAATCATAGTGTGAAATGTTTCCACTTTTTCCCGTAAGTGAGAACTAAAGCAGACAAATAATCAGTAAGTTTATAGAAGAATTCACTAAGCATAATTAATAAGCTTATTCTAATGGGAATCTATAGAAACTTACTCCAAATTTCAAAATACCTTTTTTTCCCTAATCTCACAGGCATATTTATGCAACTCGTTGTATCCTAGTCCTCTAAGCAAGTCTCAACAAATTTCAGTGGATTGATATCCTATAGACCACTTAAGCTAGAAATCCATTTTAAAAATTAATACGTTGGAAATTAAAAAATAAAGAACTTAGAAAATACATAAAATGAAGTGAAAAGTAAAATAATGGTCATGTAGCTAAGAAATGAGGAAAAAGTGCAGTAAATAAACCCAAAGAAACAAGGAAAGAAATAAAGAATAGAAGTTATCTGAAATTGAAACAAGGGTCTAAAATAGGTTCCTTGAAAAGACTAATAAAATAGATGCTTCTCTATTGAAGGTTGATCAAGAATAAAATGAGATAGGAATACATAAGAAATATTAGGAATGAAAAAGGAACTGTCCTTATATTGGTAGTAAACTTTAAATATATAATAAGGATATATTATGACTAATTTTTTTGCCAATGAATTTGAAAATTCAGGTAAAGAAAAGTTCATATTAAAATTTAATTTAATAAAAGTTAACTCAAAGAAACCTGTATTGTACCAAAACTGTTTTAAAAAATTGGGTCAGAAAATTTAAAACTTCCCACAAAATAAACTCCAGACCTAGATGGACTGGTGAATTCTACCCATCAGTCAACAAAGAAACTAAATCCAATCTTACACAAACCAATGCAGAGTATATAATGAAGAAATACTTTCCAACTACTGTTATGAGACTATCATAACCTTTATACTCAAACCTAACAAGGCCTGTATGAAATGAAAAATTACAAGCTAGTTTCACTTATATAAGTATAGACTTAAGAATCCTAAAACTTAACCTTGCAATGTAGAAAAACGATAATTTATCCTGAATTGGAATTATTCTAGACTATAGGATGATTATAAAAACAGTAGGGCATACCAATTAGGAGCATGCACTTTGCAGCCAAATTGTCTTGGCTTTAATCCCGGTTTTACTATCTATTACTTTGAGTTATATTTCTTACTTCTATTCTTTGTCTGTTAATTGGGGTAATAATGGTATCCAATCATAGAGTAGTTCTAAGGATTGGTGAATTAAAATATCTGAAGTATCTACAAAAATGCCTGATATATACTAAGAGCTGATTGCTATAGATATCAATATTGTTATAAAATCAAATATTGTAATACATCATATTAAGAGAATAAAGAAGGAAGCTATATGTTCATCTCAATAGATATAGAAACATCATTAATAATTCCTTATCCTTTAGTATTTAATAACTTAACAAAATAGGTTAGAGAGAAGCCTACATAATCTAAGAAAGCATATACATGAAAAACTTATGTCATGGTATTTTACTTAATTGTGATAGATTTAAAACATTCTTTTTGAGATTCTTCTTCCTATCACTACTTCCTTTCAGAGCTTAATAATATCAGCAAGGCCAAAAATAAAAGAAAGGAAGGAAGATAGATACAAAGATTAGAAGGGAAGATAGAACACTGATAATATTTACAAAATAATATACAGATAAAATATTAGAATTAATATGAAAGTTATAGCAGAATTACTGATTATAAAATCAAAATATTAAAAAGTAGTTGCAGGAAATGGCAGTTTCTTAAAAAGTTAAACATAAAGTTACCATGTAACATAGTAATTTCACTCTTAGGCATATAGTGAAGAGAAAGAAAAATATTTGTATCACAAATACATGTATATGAATATTTATAGCAGCACTATTTATAATAGCCAAAAATGTAAACATTTGAAATATTCATCAATTGATGAATGGATAACCAAAATGTGTTATATGTAATAAAGCACTTTTTAGCAATAAAAAGTAATGAACTACTGATATGCTATAATATGCATGAACCTTAAAAATATTATGCAAAGTGAAATAATCTGTACATAGTATATGGCTCCATTTATGTAAAATGTCCAGAAAGAGCAATCTATAGAGACATAAAGCAGGCTACTTACTTAGTGATCACTTGGTATTAGGGGTTGAATAGGGTTTGATTGCTTACTGGTTTGGGGGATATTTTTGGGTTATGAAAATGTTCTAAAAATGGATTGTGATGATGGTTACACAACTCTATAAATTTACTAAAAATTATTCAATTACATACAGTTTATAATGTGGGTTTGAACTATGTGGGTCCATGATTTTTTTCTAACCAAACGTATTTGTGGTATATGAAATCTAGTTATACAGGGGGTTGACTTTTCATATACAGAAGTTCTGCAGTACTGACTTAGGGACATGGGTGTACCTGAATTTTGGTATAGGTGGAGGGTCCTAGAACCAGTCCTAGAACCATATAGTGAGGGACGACTGTACTTAATACCTCTACTGTTTCCTTCCTTCCACTCATCCTGATCTGACTATATATGTATATGTTATATACAAATAATATATTCTTAAACCATTTCTTTTTTAAGCCAGGGAGGAGTTGATGAATAAGATTTCAGGTCTGTGAGTGAGGGAGCATGGGGAGAGAGATAGGAAGGAAAATGAGTAAAACAGATATTGAGAGAATCTGTCTACCATATAATTTATAGCAATTGCGTTTACTCAGATAAACCCTCTCAACCCTCTTTATTCATTCATACATCAGGAACCCCTTTTGAAAAAAGTATTAGGTCAGTTGGGAACAACTTGCTCTGGTTGATCTTATCTTCCCTTTTACCCACTCATAATCCAATGTGATCATATAAATGTCCATACTTGTTTAGCCTAATAAAAGATTATAAATAATTTGGATAAGTTTAATATGCAAAGGAAACTCATTATTTAAAGTGCTGTTTTAGGATAAGAGAAGGCTTTGTAGTTTATTTTTTATAATTATGATTTTATTCTAAGATCACTGTTTGAAATTGCCTTTTATAATTTAGATTTTTTAAATATCTTATTGTCTTCAAAGTGGATGTATTCCTGTACTTAAAATGTATGTTATGTTTAGGACACATAGCTTTTACTTGTGATTTATAATCACAGTATGTTTTACATTTTTTCTTTTTTGTTTCCTTGTGAGTTTCTCAAAAATTGTAATTCTATTTGGGGGCGGTTAGCCTTTTTTGGTATAATTATATTGTTACATTATTGAAATAACTAGGAAATAATCTTATGACTTAATCATTTAAAAATAAATTATTAGCTGTTATGGTGTTATTTGAGGTTATTTCATTGTGATATTATTTCTATATGTTCAGGAAAGTGCCTGAGTCATATGTATACTGCTTGATGAATTACTACACACACACTTTTTCATTCCTATGGAATTGTTACCTAGATCAAGAAATAGATCCAGGCCAGGCTCAGTGGCTCAGTCTGTAATCCCAGCACTTTGGGAGGCCGAGGCAAGTGGATTGCCTGAGTCTGTGGGTTTGAGACCAGTCTAGGCAACTTGGCCAGACCTTGTCTCTACAATAAATCAAAAATTAGCTGGTTGTGGTAGCGTGTGCCTGTAGTTCTGGCTACTTGGAAGGCTGAGGCAGAAGAATTGTTGAAGCCTAGCATGCCGATGCTGGGATGGCCGTGAGTGTGCCACTGTACTCCAGCCTGGGTGATGGAGTGAGACTAATTAAAAAAAAAAAAAAAAGATCCAGCAAGTTTGAAAGTTCCATGATTGTCAAAGCAGAGGTAGAAGGAAGAGATTATTTACTTATGAATTCCTCTTTGGCCTATAGAGAAATGTCCTTCTCTGTTTTTAAATGTATTTATATGCCATGCTATTTCAAAGAACTGTTGCATTTTCTTCTTGCTTTGTTATAGATTCAAATTATTTATTGTGTATTTGATGTAGGAATACGGTTGGACAGAATGAACTGAAAATTACAAGTGATCGAGTGATAAATCCTGGATTGTTTTTTGGAGACAAACCGAAACTTTCCAAACAGTCTCTTCAGTCTTACCAAGAGGCTTTGCAGCAGCAGGTATTCATTCAATCATTCATTCATTCATTCATTCCTTCTTTCCTTCATTCATTTATCTTTGAACATCTTAAGTGTTAGCATAGTGATCCCTTAGAACTCAGAGTGTGGCAGGGGAATAAAAAAACAACAGTTAATTATAATTCAATATGATAAGTTTTGAAGTGGATACTGTAGAATACTGTTGGAAGCATAGGATAGGGTACATAATTATCTGGGACAGTTGGTCCGGCTTCACACAATAGTTGATATTTGAGCTGCATGTTATACAAGGGTGACCCAAAAAACCCTGGAATTTATTTATAAAAAATTGTGCATTTATTCTTACATGTTTAAACTTCAGTTTCTGTCAAAATACTCTTCATTTGATACAATATACCTATTGAGACTCTTTTTCCATTGCTCAAAACAGTTTTTGAACTTGTTAATTTTGATGCCTTTTAGTGCTTCTCCCGTTTTCTGTTTTACCTCTTCCGTGGGCAAATGTTTCTCTTTGAGGTCTTTTTTCATCTGGGGAGACAAAAAAAAAAGTTGCTTGGGGCAAGAGTAGGTGAATAGGGAGGGTGGGCACAGGGGCCATGCTGTTTTTTGGTCCCAAACTGCAGAACACTCAGTGTGATGTGGGCAGGTGCACCCATATATCACCCATCATGAAATGGGCAAATGTGTTGAAAGAATCTCCAAAAAAAAATTCACTGAAGCTGAAAACAATCTCTCACAACACTGGCTGGTACACTGATGTCAGTGGGTTCCTATAACCCTTACTTAGTGGAGGAAGCCTGTACTACAAGCGGCCTACCCTCCAAAAATTAAATCTGTGGTTGTTTTTTTTTATTTTGTATAATGAACAGCTTAGAAATTTCTGGTATACACAGGGAATGGAATTGGTGTGGCAGAAGGGGATGGAGACTTAAATTGTGCTTGATTGTGAAGGACTAGCTAAAAGGTTTTCCATTTCATCCTTTCATGGACAGGCACAGGAAAGAATGTTTTAAGCCAAGCCAAGAAGAGAATGAAAGGATTGCTTGATATAAGCAGATTTATCTTTTAGGAATGTAATTGGTTGAGATGTGGACAACTGGGAAGGGATGTGAGAGAGATATTTTTTAGTAAGTTACTGAGGAATTCCAGTCAGGAGGTGATACAGGCCTGAGCTAGATGGGGAAGATGGGGAGGATATTCAAGAGACAGTTGTGAGATTTCATTGACAAGAGGGCTTGAAGATGATTTCTAGTGTTCCAGTTTAGGAGAATAATGAGTTTAGAAACTAACATTGGAGGAAATGGTTTCTTTGAGGCAGGAGCCTGGCCATTTCCCCATCTACTATCTTTTGGAATAAAATCATCTACCTAGTCAGGCACAGTGGCTCACAGCTTTGATCCCAGCACTTTGGGAGCTGAGGCAAGAGGATTGCTTGAGCCCAGAAGTTCAAGATCAGCCTGGGCAACATAGTGAGACCTCTTCTCTACAAAAAAAGAAAAAAAAAAAGAAAGAATTAGCTGGATATGGTAGCACACACCTATAGTCCCAGCTACCCAGGAGGCTGAGGTGGAAGGATTGCCTGAGTCCAGGAGGTTGAGGCTGTGGTGAACCATGATGGTGCCACTGCACTCCAGCCTGGATGACAAGAGTGAGACCCTAACTCAGAAAGCCCCAAAAACCAAAAAACACCTTTTACTACATCTCATGCTTATTTATTTTGGCGTACCAGCAGCAAGTGGCAGAGCTTGCATCAGTTACATACTCTCTTTATCAAAATGAGCAGTACTCATCTTGTAGCCAAGGTGGAATCCTACGTCTGAATGGCATTGGCGAATCTTGTATGCTGACTGTGCCTAAAGCCCTCCCACCATTGCTAGCTTTTACGTAAGTGTAGACATGTGCCCTATGTCACAGCCCTGGAGCCATATTTTGCTGTCCCCATAGCTCTTGTGTGGAGGTGCATGAGCAGCAGGAGCTACAGCAGTGAGAAAGATGGATGCATTTCAAATAGCGTTTGCCTGTATTGTTTATTCTTGAAGGAACATACTATAGTGCTTCTAGTGCTCAATTTCATAATGGAATGTATCTTTAAAAGAAATCTTTATATAAATAACTTGTAAACACGTATGTCTGTTGCTCCAACTCTAAAACAGAATGGTTTTAGTCAAAATTGTAATTCAACATCTAAATAGAATGTAAACACAAATTAAAAAAAGAAAGAAACCAAGATAGGGAATACAGGAAGTAGATCATATTTAATGAAGAGAGTAATGGGTTCTTTTGTAGTTTGTAATGTTTGAAGAGAGTGTAAGGGAACTGTCAAATGTATGGAGTTCTTTTGGGGAATTCTCTTATCTCTGAGAGGGCCTTAAGAATCTTGATAGGTACATATCTAACTGAGTTACTTTTCTGTCAAATTCTATTTGAATTTCTTCTAAAAGTACTTTTGTTCAGCTATTACATGGGCAACTTTGTTGAAAGATTGGATTTTTAAAATCATAGACTTACCAACATTACTCTTTTATATTAGGATTCTACGAATAGAAGACTGAATTTTGAATTCAGAGTCTTGTTTTGAATGAGCATATTAAAAACATCACAGACAAAACTAGACTTCCCAACTCTAGAAATCTATTATATGTGGTGATGACTTATTTGGCTGTACTGGAGCAAAAGGTTGCTTAAATTTACTGTGAGCCGGGCTCGGTGGCTCAGCCTGTAATTCCGTGCCTTTGGGAGGCTGAGGTGAGTGGATTGCCTGAGCCTGCGGGTTCGAGACCCGCCTGGGCAGCGAGACCTCATCTCTACAATAAATCAAAAAATCAACCCGCGTGGTAGCGCATGCCTATAATTCCCGCTATTCGGAAGGCTGAGGTGGAAGGATTGTGGAGCCCAGCAGGTCGAGGCTGCGGTGGCCGGGAGCGGCCACTGCACTCCAGTCTGGGCAACAGAGTGAGACTCCAACTCAAAAAAAAAAAAAATTTACTGTGTATATGGTTGTGAATTTAAAAGTGACTTTTCAAAATGTAGATACTTACTCATTGCCTGTGCATATATTTCTGTAGAATAAGCCTGTGCTTATATTTAGTGATGATAAGAATATATTTGTTTTGTAAGCTTTATAGCTGTATGAACATACCTTGGAAATACAGGTTCAGTTCCAGACCACTACAGTAAGCTCAATAAAGCGAGTCACGTGAATTTTTTGGTTTCCCAGTGCATATTGAAGTTGTGTTTTAGTCTATTATAGTATGTGATAGAATTATGTCTAAAAATATATACCTTAATTTAAAAATATTTTATTGCTAAAAGATGCTAACAATCATCTGAACCTTCAATGAGTCATAATCATTTTGCTGGTGAAGTATCTTGAACCTTGATGGCTGCTCACCAATAAGCGTGGTGGTTACTGAATGTTGAGTGGGTGTAGCAATATCTTAGGAGAAAAATAACAGTGAAGTTTTCTGCATCAGTTGACTTTTCCTTTCATGAAAGATTTCTCTGCAGCATGTGATGCTATTTGGTAGCATTTTACCCAAAGAACTTCTTTCAAAGTTGGAGTCAAACCTTGCTGTTCTTTTATTATCTAAATTTATGGAATACTTTAATTCTTTTGCTGTCATTTCAACAATGTTTATAGCATCCTTACCAAGAGTAGATTCCTTCTGAAGAAACCACTTGAGAGGGATTTGAGAGCAACTCCCGTCCATTAAAGTTTTCTCATGAAGTTGAAACAAATCTTTCAAATCTTCAGGCTTCACTTTTAATTCCTGTTCTCTTGCTGTTTCCACCACATCTGTAGTTTCTTCCTCTCCTGAAGTCTTGTATGACTTAAAGCAATCCACGAGGGCTTGGATCAACTTCTTTCAAACTCCTGCTAGTATAGATATTTTTATCTCCTCCTGTGAATCATGAATGGTGAATCTATAATGGTGAATCTTTTCCAGAAGATACTTTGCCTAAATGCATCAGAGGAATTACTATCCATGGTAGCTATAACCTTCTTAATAACGTATCTTAAATAATAAGACTCAAAAGTCAAAATTACTCTTTGACCATGGGCTACAGAATGGATGTTGTGTTAGCAGGCATGAGAATTAAATTAATCTCCTTGTACATCTCCATTAGTGCTCTTAGGTGATTAGGTGCATTGTCAATGAGCAGTATTTGTTTGAAAAAATCTTTTTTTTTCTTTTGAGTGGTAGGTCTCAATAGTAGGCTTAAAATAATCAGTAAATCATGCTGTCAGCAGATATGCTATCATGCAGGCTTTGTTGTTCCGTTTCTAGATCACAGGCAGAGTAGATTTAGTATAATTCTTAAGGGCCCTAGGATTTATAGAATGGTATAGGAGCATTGACTTTAACTTATTTTTTTTTAATTTATTTTTCTTAGCCGGGCTCGGTGGCTCAGCCTGTAATCTCATGCCTTGGGAGGCTGAGGTGAGTGGATTGCCTGAGCCCGTGGGTTCAAGACTTGCCTGGGCAACTTGGTGAGACCTCATCTCTACAATAAATCAAAAAATTAGCTGGGTGTGGTAGCGCACGCCTGTGGTTCCAGCTACTTGGAAGGCTGAGGCGGAAGGATCGCCGGAGCCCAGCAGGTCAAGGCTGCAGTGGCCGGGAGCGGCCACTGCACTCCAGTCTGGGCGACAGAGTGAAACTCTAACTCAAAATTAAATAAATAAAATAAATAAATTTATTTTTCTTTCCAATACTAATGTAGGATTAGGCATGGCTTTAACTTAAAGTCATTAACTATATTCGCCACTAACAAGAGTCAACTTGCCCTTTGAAGCTTTGAAGCCAGTCATTGACTTCTCTGTGGCTGTGAAAGTCCTCGATGGTGTTTTTTCTCAATAGAAAGATGTCTCATCTACACTGAAAATCTGTTGTTTAGTGTAGCCACCTTTATCAGAATCCGAACTAAATCTTCTGGATAACTTGCTGCAGTTTCTCCATCAGCCTTTGCTGCTTCATCTTGTACTTTTATGTTATGGAAACAGAATTTTTCCTTCCACCTCATAAACCAACATCTGCTAGCTTCAAACATTTCTACTGCAGCTTCCTCATCTCTATCTACTCTTACAGAATTGAAGAGAGTTAGGGCCTTGCTCTGCATTAGGCTTTATGTTAAGGGACTGTTGTGGCTAGTTTGACCTTCTATCCAGACCACTCAGACTTACTCCATATCAGCAATATGGCTGTTTTGCTTTCTTTTCATTTGAGTGTTAGGTGAAGTAGCAAGAGGCCTAGCTTTCAGCCTATCTGCTTTTGACATGTCTTCCTCACCAAGCTTAATCATTTCTAGTTTGATTTAAAGTGAGAAATGTGTGATCCTTTTACTTGAATACTAACAGGCCATTGCAGTGTTATTAATTGGACTAATTTCAATATTGTTTAACTGAGGGAATAGGGAGACCTGAGGAAGGGGAGAGAGGTGGGAGTGACTGGTCAGTGAAGCAGTCAAAACATACACTGTTATATTAAGTTCACTCTCTTTTGTGGGTATAGTTCCTGGTGCCCCAATCAATTATAGTAGTAGCATCAATGATTGTTGATCACAGATCACCATAACAGATATAATAATAATGAAAAAGTTTTAAATGTTGTGAGAATTATTTAAATATAACACAGACATGAAGTGAACATATGCTGTTGAAAAAATGACAATAGATTTGCTAGATACAGGGTTGCCACAAACTTTCAATTCATGAAAAATACACTATCTGCAAAGTGCAATAAAGTAAAACACAATAAAAAATGTGGTATGCTTATATACCCCCAAAATGTTTGAACCTTTAACCTCTCTGAATCCTGGGAATGAGTTTGCTTAGGCAGAGTAGGTCTAGTGAGATAAGGAGTAGACTTTGTGTCTGGGCATCCTCTGTGAAAGGATAGATGAAAAAGGAACATAGGGAGATCCTGATGATCCTGATCCTGTGGAACCAGCAACTTTAGAGAGGGAATGGCTCAGGTAGATGTTGGAAGAGGAAGGAGGAGTTGGTTGAGTCTAAGGTAGCCTTTCAGTTGGAAAGGCCTCTGGTGGCATGATATGGGGAAGCAACGGTAATATGTTTCAGCCATTGAAGTGTTTTAAAATAGAATATTATATATATTTGTGATTTTAAACTTTGTAGTGGAGCATACTGGAAAAAATATCTCCAGGTTTTTTTTTCCTAACACAAAAAAATAAAATAGCATCTGGTGTTATTAACCTCTGGTATCAGAATACTTGTTGGCACTTACTTTTAATGTATCTTATGTTGTCAAGATTCGGGAAAGAGAAGAAAGAAGGAAGAAAGAACGGGAAGAAAAAGAAGAATATGAAGCAAAATTAGAAGCTGAAATGAGAACTTATAACCCCTGGGGAAAAGGTGGAGGTGGTGCTCCTCTCAGGGATGCAAAAGGAAATCTGATAAGTATGTTGTCTCCATGGACTTGTTTTACACTAAACCACATTGTTTTTGGCTTTTTAAAGGAATGGGGGAGTAGAAAGAAGTGACAATCAGAGCCTGCAAAGTAAGAGATCTCTTATCATGTAGTTTAATACACAAGAGGTATTTTGATAATAAATATAGCGGAGGCTAGTACTTCTTTACAGTAGTGTTCATTTGTTTTTACTGTAAAGTTTTCATCCTCTGATGATAGTAACCCAACTGAAGAGAAAAGCGCATGTTAGTTGGTAAGTTTTTACCCAAACTAGTACTTAGAATATTTTCTTTATTTCCTAGTAAAAATAGTAAAACCTGTATTAGCCGGGCACAGTGGCTTATACCTGTAATCCCAGCACTTTCGGAGGCTGAGGCAGGAGGATCATTTGAGCCAGGAGTTGGAGACCAGTCTAAGCAACATAGCAAAACCCTGTATCTACAAAAAAATAATTAAAAAATTAGCCAGGTGTGGTGGTACATGCCTGTAGTCCTAGCTACTTGGGAGGCTAAGGCAAAGGATTGCTTGATCCCAGGAGTTCAAGGTTATGATGAGCTATAATTGCACCACTGTACTTTAGTCTGGGTGACAGAGCAAGACCCTATTTCTAAAACAAAACAAAAAACAAAAAACAAGCACATACACATAAGTTTTTTTTAAACTAGTAAGACATCTTAAAAATAAATGATCAAAAACAGTCGCAGTAAGCGCTGTTTTGTTTATCTTATATATGCAGTATACCTGCTCAGTGCAAGGATTCCTTTGAAAAAGAAAAATATACTTGATCTCAGAAACTTTCTGACAGGTTGCATAATTAGTCAATTTATCTTTCAGAAATTTTTGCTCTAGTCATCACACAACAAACACTTTGGAAAAACAGCTTTATAATGCTTATGTGCACTAACTCTTCTGTAACTGTGGGGGATTGATTCCAGGACTTCCACTGATACCGATGTCTATGAATGCTTAAGTCCCTTATATACAATGGTGTAGTACTATTTGCATGTAACCTAACTTATACATATCCTCCTGTATACTTTAAATTATTCCCAAATTACTTATTACACCTAATACATTGTAAATGCCACGTATATAGTTCTTGCTTAGGGAATAATGACAAGAAAAAAATTGTATATATTCAGTACAGATGCAACCATCTTTGTTTCTTTGCTCTGTGGTTTACTGACTTCATGGATGCGGAACCCACAGATACAAGGGCCAGCATGAGAAATAAAAGATAATAACAACGTACCTATTAAAATGGTAAAAATGTACATTTCAGGTTCTTTAGGTGTTATGTGATATTGTAGGAATAGGTGAGTGGAGTCAGAGATTGAGTATTGAGTTATTAGAGTTCTTATATATTATATCTTTGAATCTTTGTTAAGTTTTCCTTTTAAATAACGTATATATTTGAGGCCCACTTAAATTAATAAATCTTTTTTTTCCCTCGAAATTTGTTCATTTCTTATCTTTACCTCATAAATACTACAGTTTTGGAAGATTAGAACTCTTATTACTTTATAGATTAAATTATTTTAGGTGATACATAGATAAACCTTTGTTATTTTAATAGATGAGTGTTTATTTGAAAATGCATTTGAAAACCACTGATTTTCCATTTACGAATACTGCTGTAACATTTCCTTTTCGAGTAAAGGTAGTACTTGAAGTAAAGGTATTAGTCCAGACATTTAATGAAATGTGCTGTAACAGACAGCCCCCTTCAGGGAGAGAGAGGAAGGCTCTCCTAATGCCTGATAGAGCTGCCCAAAATGGCCCCTCTGTTCCTAGGAGTGCGACAGGTTCTGGGGTGGGGGGTAAAGAACAAAACAAAACAAAAAACAGCCCCCGATTCTCAAAGACTTAAGGCAGTATAGGTTGACTTCTCACTCATATCTCATTCTGATACTGTTTGGGTGATTCTCCTCCAAGAAGCAACTCAGGGACTAATTGTGTCCCTCTGTTTTGGAGTCACTTACTTCTGGCGGCTCAGGAAGGGTCCAGGGGTATGGAGAAAACAAGATGAGGATTTGTTGGGGTCTGGCCTAGAAGTGAAAGAATATTACCTTTGTCTTCATTGTTCACATCCATTTACAGGATCTAACCTAACTGCTTGGGGGGCTGGGACTCTTAAGTTTCTTTATACTCAAGATGAGGACATGGGATTGATACGCCAATTTTTGTTGCAATAAATTTAGGTTGTGAATTGATAGAAATATACTGGTTACCATGAAAGAGGTGCTTAAATGAATTAAACTTCAGGAAATACTGTAATAGTTCAACTTTCTAGAACTTTATAGGCTACCTCTAAGATTATTTTCAGTTAAAACAATATAATTAATATAATTATAGTGTTCTATATGCATTTAATTGGCATAAGTGAGTAGGATAAATGTGAGTTACTGAATTATAAAGCATTGTTTTAGAATTGCTTGACCTAATGGGAATGGAGGAAACTTTTCTGAGATTTCTATTTTTAATAGTAATGTTAATTTGCCTAATCAATGCTATAGTTGTGCCATGAAAGAGAAAAAGTATACTATTTTATTCAACACTTTGGAACTCTTTTTTAATGGTATCTTCAAAGCAAGTAAACTCATCACTTAAAGTATATGGGTTTATTTTGTATGTGGCTGCTACATTTTAGAAAAGGAGGACTTGCATTTTTAATATTATTATATTTGAAATATGTAGTATAGAATGGTATAGTGACCAAGACTATAACCTTTGTACTTTATCTTGTCTAACTTTAATTCTCCTGCTGACTTTTCTAATTACTCCCATTCTCTCTTGATTTTTTATTCCAAAAAAATTAATGAAATCAAATTTTTACCCTTAGCTAAGAAGATCTCTTTATAGGAATAGTAATTATTAATGAAATACCAAATCTGTTATTCACACAACTGTAAGAACACATTAGCCCTTCAAAAGTAAATACCTCTTATTTTAATTATTGATACAGTACTTTACTGTTTCCTTTCTCAGTTCTTTATTCATTAAAGTTCTTTATTTATGATCCTATAAAAAAACTAATAATCTTCTAGTGTCTTTAAGTAGGTGAATGGATAAGAAAACTGTGGTATATCCATACAATAGGATGCTACTCAGATAATAAAAAAGAATGAATTCTTGATGCTCACAACAATTTGGAAGGCTCTCAATGGAATTATGCTGAATGAAAGAAGTCCTTCTCTGAAGGTTATATACATATGTGTGTGCTTCCTTTTTATGACATTCTCAAAATGACAAAGCTGTAGAGAAGGAGAACAAGTCAGTAGTTGCCAGGGGTTATGGTGGGGAGAGGGAATAATTATAAAGAAGTAGCATGATGGGGTTTTTTGGATGATAGAAGTTTTATTTTATTTTATTTTAGTTTTTTGAGTCAGAGTCTCACTCTGTCGCCCAGGCTGGAGTGCAGTGGTAGGCTCACAGCTACTGCAGCCTCGACCTGCTGAACTCAGGTGATCCTTCCGCCTCAGCCTTGCAAGTAGCTGGAACCACAAGCATGTGCCACCATGCCTAGCTAATTTTTTGATTTATTGTCTTGCCATGTTGCTCAGTCTGGTCTCAAACCCCTGAGTTCAGGTAATCCTCTCGTCTCTGCCTCCCGAAATACTGGGATTACAGGCATAAGCCACTGTGCCCGGCTGAAGTTTTTTATATCTTGATTATAAATTGTGTTACATGAAGCTATGCATCATGTGTTAAAATTATAAAAATTGTACCTCAAAAGAAAAAAGCCAAATCAAAATTAAAAGATAAAATTAAAAACTTAGCTGGGCTTGGTGGCTCAGCCTGTAATCTCAGCATTTTGGGAGGCTGAGGCTAGTGGATTGCCTGAACCTGTGGGTTTGAGACCAGCCCGGACAACTTGGCAAGACCTCGTCTCTACAATAAATCAAAAATTAGCTGGGCATGGTAGTGTGCACCTGTAGTTCTGGCTACTTGGAAGGCTGAAGTGAAAGGTTCACCAGGGCCCAGCAGGCGGACGCTGGGGTGGCTGTGAGCATGTCACTGCACTCCAGCCTGGGCAATGGGTGAGACTCCAACTCAAAACAAAACAAAACAAAAAATTTAACCAACTGGAAAGATGGCAAAAAGTATCTCATGGTTCTAATCAAATAGTTTAATTCAAAAGCATGATTAAATTTTTCTTGCTGTATATTTGATTAGGTATTTATATTACTTTTATGTAATATATTTGCCCCAGTTAAATTTATGCTGGTTTTTTGTTTATTGAGGTATGATTTCTATGCAGTAAGAGTCACCCTTTTAAAGCTCATTGAGTTTTGACTACTGATTCTTGTAGCTATTACCACCACAGAACATTTCCAGCACTGCAGAAAGTTTCCTGTGTCCCTTTACAGTCAATCCTTTTACCTAGCCATCTACCCCTGCCAACTTGTGATCTGCTTTCTAGCATGACAGTAATGCCTTTTTTTCCTGACATTGTCTTTTAGCACGCGTTTCTGAGATTCATCCATATTGCTGCAAATACCAGTAGCTTATCGCCTTTTTGTTAATAGATGGTATTACCTTGTTTGAAGGTACCACAGTTGTTTATCCACTTACCAGTTGATGGATATTTGGGCTGTTTACAGTTTAAGGGTATTATGAATAATACTGTTAGTAACATTCACTTACAGGTCTCTGTATGAACATATATTTTCATTTCTTTTGGGAAAGTGCCTAAGGATGGGATTACTGGGTTGTGCAGTAAGTTTAACTTTGTAAGAAACTACCAGACCATTTTCCAAATTGGTTGTGCCATTTTGCATTTCTACCAGAAAAGTATGAGATTTTTTTAGTTGCTCTGAATTTTCATAAACTCTTGAGCTTGCACATCTTTAAAACTGTACTCGTTCCACGAAGTGTGTAATGTGATACCTTACTGATTTTTTAAAACTTTCTATTATGAAATAATGTAAGACTTACAGAAGTGTTGCACAGATGGCATAGGGAGTACCCTTCACCCTGTTTCCCCCAA